CCAGTCTGTCGCATAATTGGGTAGAGTCTGGTGAAAAAATTCAGTTCTGACAAACGCCGGAGGGGACATCAGAGGCCTCACTTTCCTCACTATTCGCACGCTTTGGTCCCTGTATCGCAATTGAATTGAATAACGAGTTATTTGAGCGTTAGGCCATCGTTAAAGTAAGATCGACCACTGCTGAACTCAATGACGCAGAAACCACGAGATGGCCGACAGTGTGCTTGCATCAGTAGGGGCGGTATTCAATGCTGGCCAACACACACCTGCCGGCACCGAATGCCTTACTGATGTCTCCTTGTCGATAGAAGTGAGGGAGCAGTTCAGAAGTCGATTATGCGATCGCTGGAACAAGAAGTATATTTGCCTGACGTTTCGGATTCTCTCTAGAACCCTTCATCAGACGTGACCGTAGTGCACCGATTAGGGCCTCTGCATGCATCACATTATTTTACAGTTACTTATGATTGAGGGTTCTCGACAGAATCCGAAACTTTAGGCAAATACACTTCTTGATTCAGTGATCGCATCTGTGACTTCTGAACTGCTTCCTGAAACTCGCATATTCGCTTCTATCGGCGATATCTTTGGGCGCGATGCGCTCCGATCGGCTCGACGGCGGAAAACATTTGCCCTTCGGGAGTCGTCTACTTATGCTCGGATTTGATTTCTGCACAGCTGCCTCGAAAATAACGTGTTAACGGAATGTGCTTCATACAGACCTCCGGTTAATACAGAGTTGGCGACACCCGCAGAATTTCAGAAGGGCAGAGGTATGATCCGAGTGATTTCTTTTTGTTTGTTCTTGAAATGAAAGAGCTGGGAGGAAGAGGAGGACAAGAGGGCGGTTGCATTTGTCGCACTTTTTGTAGATTGGTACAGCGCAAACCAATTTGTTGCTGCGGTCTCTTCTTCTTAGGTTAGGGTCTGAAGGCCGTGTCATTGATCAGCCTGGGCCGTTAAGCAGTATTCGTAGATTTTCAGCGCTGAACAGTCCTTATCGGGCCCAGGTAGTAGAACGTGGAATTGGGTGGTCAACTGGATCCGAACTGAAATATTGCATTTTTTTCCGGCGCGGAACCATGTATATCACACACGATACGGCAGCATATAATTTCTAAATGGTCACTACAATCCTCCTTGTCATTGTTGGAAATATAGCATAATTACCGGTTTCAGCTGACTTGTTGAATTCCCTTAAAAAAGGGAGCTGAATAATTGGGATCTTTAATGTATCTTTTCTAGCACAGTCACTGACTGGAGTCTTCAAATTCGTATGGCACCCTTTACCCCGTGTCTTTTTGTGCACTCACATGTATCGGAGGCATCTCCACTAAAAATAAATCTTTCGGATGTTTCCGTTGGTAAGAAATCCTTGCAGTTTGTGCGGTCGTTTGAACAAAAACTGTGCTTCTTACTTCAATACGGCAGCAGCTGTGATCGGACTGTTTTTTGTTTTTGTTTTGAGAAAACAAAAAACCCTTTTAGTGCTCAGCCCCGTTCTACATAAAACTCCAAACTGGCTGCGCGTTGACCACTCACAGTATTTCATGCAAAGGTTTAGTCAAGAAGTATGCAGGAAAATATGCGGGTTCGTCGCAAACCGGGATCGGCTTGTGACTCACTCTACACGGACCACCTTCTACTTTGGGGTCACGTTAATTCGCTCTCGCTGTCATCCCCCCCTTCACCTACGCGTGTCTGTATTTCACCCTCATCTCTCCCATCGTGACTTTCCTGTCGTTTCCACACTTCTTCCTAAGTTGTACTCGGAGCTGACTCCGACTTCCTGCCCCCCCCTTCCGTGCATTCTTAGGGCCCTTTTTGAGTCGAACGTGCCGTATCCTTCCCTTGTGGTTACCTGCTACGCCACTAACTCGCACTCTTGTTTCCTTAGCCCCATCTGAACCGCCTCTACGGTCAGTGTCTATCCCAGGCCGGCGACAACTCCCATTGGCTGCGAGTCGCCAACTCGCTGCAGACAGCTGACTGTCTCCTCCTCGGCGTCTTCACCTCAAAGGATGTCACCCTCCCACCCGAGGCCAGGCTCGATCTGTTGCTGCCCTCGGAAAACCTGCGGTTGGCCAAAAAGGCAAGTTAATCCGCGTAGTCTTGCACTAAAAGACTGCAACCTTCCAATTGTAATTCTTAGTCTGGTCAGAAAGAGGTTTTCTGTTGCTTCTCCTCCGGAGCAAACCTCCTCTTTTCGAACACAGCTACGCACCATGGTCTCAGATTCGTAAATAACAATAGTTCGCATTTAGGACAGCAGTGATTACCCGTCGGTGCCTAATTGAACAGGCTGTTAATAGCGCCATTCACCTTTAGCTGCACCCCGTTTCAGGACACTCGTCCTCGCTAATTGTCCAACCATCTGCAGTCATTTTGTAATTTTCCCCGTTAGTCACCTTTTTGTCGCACGTAGCCCTTCCAATCCCCGGTAGGAAAGTGGAGCTGGGGGGATGGAGAATTTTCAAGTGACAAATATATTTGTCACTTGAAAATTCACCATCCTCCCAGCAGTAGCGGTGGCGACTAGCAAATTGCTTGCAGGGTGGATGATCCCATGGCGTGGCGCTTTGCTTGCCTCCTTTTCAAAAAAGCTGGTTCCGTGTTGGGTTACTTCCAACTTCCACCAATTTGGACTACTGCTGGCACGGAGGCATGCCGTTATCAACGATGGACGGCGTCAACACCCAGCCAACCCTCAGCCAGTGGCGTCGCTATATCTTCCTTCTCTCGCCCATCTCTCCCACCTCGGGCGTGACTAGAGAGGAATGCGTGCACACCCATTTTGGGTTTCCACTGCTCCTCCTGGCGAGCAAGTAGCACGGCGAATGTAAAAACCGGCGCACCCTTGATGAACCCGAGTGCAGGTTTAGAGGCATGCAGTGGTTCCTTTTGGAGCAGGGAATCGATTCTGTCAGCGTTTTCTAGGTCCAGTCTGAGTCCGCGGACCAAAGCTCCACGGTAGTTAACACCACCCGTTAAGTCGTAGGGGTATAGTCGCGCAGAGTGGCTAGATCAAGACGGAGCTTTCTGCAGTTCTGTGGTCTCTACGCCTTCACCCATCCTTTCGGCCACAATAATTGAATTCATTTGACCCACTTGTGAAAAAATTTGGCTGTCTCGCCGGTCTGGAAGGCCAGAAGCCTATACAATTTCGCAAATCCCGACGACGGCACTGTGATATGGCGAGCGTGAACCGCCATTAAATAAGTTCGCTTGCCACAGCTGCCTTGTGGCTAGGTTGTTGAACCAAAGCGCTAGAGGAGACAAGCTCGAACAATCAATCCGAGCGGCTGTTGAGTACCCGCCCGTACTCACAATTCGTAAGAAACCTCGTGAAAACTATGTCCGATAAAATCGTCTCAAATGAGACAATCCGCACTGGCTGCGACAACATCGCAAGGCTTTTTAAGAATGGCGACTGGGATTTTTTGGACACGTCCTTGGTTGTAAAGCTCACGAGCTCAGTGTTAATGCCCTCGATCCGACATCGTTACCTAATTGAAGGCGTCGAAGGGGGGGGGG